ATGGACGTAGAAGGTCATCGTTCATCATTGAACCTGGCACAAGAAGCTGAACTGTTCTTCTCCAGGTCAGCTGGCCAATAACCAGGCAAGACAAGCACCAGTTTGAGGGCTCAAGTTGCCCCCCCCAGGAAGTAAACTAAATAAGGGGACTGGGAGGTCTTGTAGAATCTCAATTAGCTTCCTTTCTGCAACTTGGGATGGAAGTTTCACCAAGCAAGAGTGGGGAGCTTCGCTGACCAACATCATTGCTGTGAGAGATTGTGGGAAGGCTGGAAAAGGAACGGAACAGAACATGAACTCAACAATTGAGACAGAAGGTTAGTCTGTTGACAGCTTATCTGACAAATGGCAACGTAGCTCAGGCAGAGAGAATCTGGGAAGAAGCATTTCAAAAGCGTTCCAAGAGGCTCTGCCTTAATGACCTCACTAATGGGGGTACAACATTTCTACTACTGTTTCCAAGATTTATGTCAAGACCCAGGTGCTTGGGCAAGATCAAGGAAGCAAGAACGACACCGACTTCAGGAAGGTGTACTTTCATGCTAGTCTGGGGTAAACATAGAATCTTGGAAACTGTAAGAGGAATTGACGGTAAGGTAGAGACTCTTCAAATGATCTGAAATGCTTCTTCTCAGATTTCTCACCACCTGGGTTGAGCTGCTGTTTGGCCAATACATTGCCAGTTGAGTTACTGTATCTATTTCTTGATCAAGAGATAGATAACTCAAGAGATAGTTAACTCTATCTCTTGATTTTTGACATCGACTCTCCCTTTCAGCCTTCCCCCAACCTCTCTCATCTGCCTTCCTTACATCTGCCTCGGTCTCGAAAGGGGCCAGATTGACGGAGAGAGAACAGACAACGATGCAAGGTCATGCAGAAACGGAGACAAGTTAATCATAAGTGCCAGTTATTGTGAAAAAGAACCTACCGTGCATGCAAAATTAGACCCAGGAGTCAACAGGCTGGGGTTTAGAATCCCGTGTGTCCACCAGAGTCACTGAAGGCCTGTTACTCCTGTTAATCGTTTTCCTATTTGTGTCATTCTGCAGCAAACAGGGGTGAGGCGTTAAAAAGGCAAAACACAACAGATTAATCAATCAAACAGACAAACAAATCCATCCATTCACAAGGTTTGCAAGGAAGCATTAGTGCTGAGACAGCAAGTGAGAGGAAGAGACGCAGAGGACCCAAGGGTGCTCCACTGCAAATTTCAATCGTAACTGGGAACGCCAAGCAGATCAGCGGAAGCAGGAGCACGGCTGACACTCAAAACATTGATTCTTATAACCAGCTGAGCCAATGGATTGCAAATACTGGAAATCAACAGCATTAAACTCCTGTGTATATGCGTGCATGCATCAGAATAAGTTGTAGATCCTTCTGTGTTACTGTAGCGGCTGTAGCCAGCTAAACCAGAGAGTGAAATATGGCACAGAACCCTAACCAATATTTCTGCCTGGTGGACATTGGAGCAAATTGACGCTTCCAAAGGATTGGACCCCAAATGTAGTTCTCAGCCTGAGAAAGGTTGCGCATGCCAAGTCCAAGGCAAAGAGTTTGCATCTCTCTTGCCACGAACAACATGGGAAGTCTTCCTTGCAACACTGCAATTGCCAGAAGTGCATCATGAAGAGCACTAGAAAATGTCCTCCTGTCCAATGTCATTTCAACTCACAGTGATGGTCCCTTGGTCCAATGCTCTGTACCACTCCATCCTGCAAATGCAGACCAAATACAGATGTGCAAGGAAACTGTGGTGTAACTCCAAAGATGGCTGCTTACCTTTAACGGTTCTTTCTCCGACGCATCTCCCATGTTGTCACTGGCTTTGTATTTCCGCTCCTTGTCCCGGTGATCGATGGTGGAATAGCCATCTGTAAAGAACAGAAGCTGGTTGCAAAGGGAGCGGTTGCGTGGCACGAAATGAGTGCCTTTTCCACGTGGTCAAAACCTGTCAGTCCTTAGAGGTAGTACAGACAAGAAGCACTAACCATGAGTACTAACGCTACCTTTATTATAAGGTTACAGTAACAGAATCTTGAAAGTCTGAAAGTACATCTTTCCCCCCCTCACCTTTACAGCCCAAGAAAGTAGGGAAGGTCCCTTCTGAGATGTTGACCATGCCCCCATTCCTTCTGTGGGCTAAGCTACCTCTTATCTTTAGCAGATGCTAAAGTTGGAGGTAACTTTTTTTGAATGGCCTTCAATTTTGGGGAGAGCGGCATGCAACCCTTGGTGTTTCTCAGAGTCCTCTGGCAGCAAACAATTCAGAATGTTGACACTTTCTTTTCTTTTAGACGTTTTCAAGTTATGTTTGACACCCTCTGTGGCAGGAGCAAAGTTTTTCCCAGCTTATCCTCCATTTCTCTTGAATAATCATGCACCATTAGGAATGTTAAAACATAGTCTCTCTGAAAACCTTAAAACATAGTCTCTCTGCAAACTACAAGCCAGAAATCACAAACTCAGCTAAATAATCACACTTTAATGATTCATACATATCTATATTTCACCTATACAGTACTCATACACAGACACTCATTATGATTCTCCTTCCAAGTATAAGCTTGACTGATCTTCATGGGCCTAATTTCTGAGTAGACATTATTCAACTTTGCGGAAGCAATGTTCTGCTCCAAATGTCAGACTCATCTGCTTGAATAAACTTCTCCTGGTGAATATACAAAACTTCAGAGTGACTGACAGGATTTACTATCAACAATGACATGGGTGAGCTGATCCATCATTACCTGGCCCAAGTTCATCCATCGGAATCATGTCCCGGCTTCCGGTCTTCTCATTATCTATAAAAAGGAAGAAATGGAACTTGGTTTGTGTGAGATCCAAGTCCCAGACATCATTCTTGAAGAACAAATAATTCACTAAGGGAAGAGACAGAACTTAAGCCAATGTTTAAGGCAGTGTTTTTCAAACTTGGCAATTTTAAGATGCGTTGACTTCAACTCCCAGAATTCCCTAGCCTGCATGCTGGCTG